ACTCCGGTTGTTGATCGCCTCCACTGATGATACAGTGTAGTTCCTTGTACACCCGATGCGTATGCCGCTCGAGACTCCCGCGCACGTGACCCTTGCTGCTAGTTCACCACAGAGATACCCGCTACTGCCACAGGGGTGGTAACGTGTGTATACGACGTGAACCCTCAGCACCTTGGTGTAGATGACCAAGTTTGCGCGTCTGCTTGTGTTGCCGTTGACCGATGACGGCGTCGCAATCTTCAGAAATATCCGAAACCCGGTTCTCTCGTTGTCCACGGATGAAGGTTGATGTCCCGAGAAGAGGTTGCCTTGATCTTCCCGTGATGTTCGCAGCTCGTAGTGTGTGCGTTAGCCGAGGCTCATAACCTGTCAGCGATATTTCGCTGTGCTCTAGCAGCAGTACGATGCTGCAGATGCCAGGAGGCTGTGTAGCCTACCTCAGAGGTTCACACTCTGTGCGTCTCCAACCGCGAGAGACTTGGAATGGAAATATGAAGATGCTTGTATTAGTTGCTGACTCCCGAGTCAGATGTTGCTGGTACTGAAGAGGAGTGAGAGGAGTGGGCGAGCCGAGGGCTGCACCACTCTTCTCGAATACCGGACAAATAAGCGAATCACACGAAAAGATCCAGAATGCTTCCAGAATGATTTCTGGAAGCCCTCCTACGTTCTAGAAGAGTATCAACTACAACCTAGATCTAAAACGCTTCCAGAAGCTTACAGAAGGAACCAGAAGGGTCCAGAAAGGCTTTCAGAAGCTACAGAAGGAACCCGAAGTTTCCAGAAGGCTTCCAGAAGCTACACAAGTTCTACGTAGTAGATGTCCCGGTCAACCTTGACCTAGCATGCTTCCGGAATATTGCTAGAACAAGAGAATACATGCCAAGGAGAGATGGATTCTTTTCTACTGCTACGCAGACTAGTTGCTGCAATCGTATTCGAAGGTCAAACCGGGTCCGACTACTGGTGGTCTCGACGCACGATTTTCCTGACAGGGGTCACCCGTAGACCACCGGGGCAGAGAAACTGAGATATACCACTCATCATACATACATACCCGTCTCCACATATCGGTGGCGTAACTGACATTGCCTCGGCGGCATGTTGGTCGGGCCCTACAAATCATGGATCCTTTTTTCGCCGAGACGCAACTATAGGTCTACTGCATCAAAGGTAAAACCAATAATGGGCTTTACAGTCACAACCTATGCCGACTGCGTGGGTGTGATCCATGTTTGCACACGGTCGAAGCTCTTGCAAGGTGCCAAGAGTTTGAGCGGAGAGAAAGCTAAAGGAGTAACAACTACCTGCGTCTCCGGTCGAAGTGAACCATACAGCAGAATTGTAAAGGATCTCGTCGTAGGATTCGATGCTACGACTTTCATATGCAGGCGTCGAGTTTGATAGCCTCGGGAAGAAAGAAGCGCGCTCAGCGGAGATTTATTACGATCTAGAGAATGCGAGAAGCAAACGTTGTCGGTTCTCGTGCTTGCTAGCGACCGATAAAAGGGATGACATCTTACTTCCATGTTTTGCCTGGTACCCTTTGGATTGTCTATCCGGTACAGGTAAGTGCTGACAAGGGCAAGCGGAGACGTAAGTTGGAGTCATCATTCCTGGGATTCTCGTCATCATCACCAGCAGTTGTGAAAGTTGCAGCGAACGGTCCGTCGGGCCAACAAGGTTTCGCTAAAGTTTCTGCTGATTATTACCGTTTTTATGGCGGTGCTTCACCTGGCAATGATGATGCGGGTGAACAGGAAGCGGTGGGAAGGGGTGATCACGGACTGGAAAGCTCCCGGTCCTTAAAAGGGCAAGATGTGCTACCACCAGCAGCTCCCGAGGTTAGATGAAAATGGGTCTCGATATACTGAAATATCATAGTCAAAGTGGTCCGTTTTTCACGATCACACACACAGCCCGTGCACCACCAACCTACAGAGCAACAGCTTGACAAATGAATATGTGACCTTTGTAATGGAGCAGTTCTACCAGCGGACGGTCGCGTTTCCAGGGAGCTTCCATGGTTGAAAGGACAGTTCCGTCACTTCCATTATTGTCGTGCTGCGTAAAACAATATATCAACGCTTTCCGAAGCGATCCGACGAGGGGCGAAGCCTTGCCCGTTCGAGGTAGCGTCCTCTTGTCCTTCAAAGACAAACTACATAGTCTGGGATGTCAGCCGCGTTCTGATTACTCGCCGCCAAAGTCATCCTATCTCCCGCTGGAACTCGTGTTTTCGGAATGATTTCAGTTTGTGGTTGCTGTTGGAGGCAAGGCGCTGTGTACAGTGGTTGTATTTTATTTGTGCGCCCATACGGAATTACTTTCAAGGCTGTCTCGGCCTCTTTCTCACATGCCATTGATATCCTGTAATGATGCTGAATAGCGTGGAGCTCTTCCCGTCCCAACGGGGGGTGCCTCCGCGACAAGCACCGGTGTATCGGTACATCGTGCTGCCACGGATGCTGCTGCTGCTGCCGTTGTTTATATGGGTAGTTTAAAGGAATGCCCGCCCGACGGTGGCTTGCCTCCTAGATGTAGTAGATGTAGATTCTGCCGTAGACACTCTTGTCCACGAGCACGTTGAGATGGGAAGGTTGCTTGTTATTGCAGAAGCGGGTNCCTTAACACTAGCCCACCCTGAAGATCATCTATACAGATTCTATACTCAAATCCTAAGGCTACTAATAGCTGGAGATTTAGGATCATGAATCGAAAGATATGACTCTTCACAAGTGTATGCAAAGGAAAGAGCAGCTGTAAGAATATCCCGACTCAACCCCCCACACCACCATTGAGACAAAAGGTGATTCCGATGACGCGGAAACACA